AAAAAAAAAAAAAAAAAAAAAAGAAACGGACATCAATACATGCGAAGAGACTATACATGTAAATTCACCGTTAGGGTTTGAGCTTATATGTTGTACTATTTCATTGTCGTGGACGACCAGGAGTTTTGAGAGACTAAAATTCTTACAACGATTCGATTGAATAGTTTTCCTCTTCGGGAATCTAAATTCAGGGATCTATTTGGAAATCTCTAAAATCTATGCTTATTCGTAACACCCTGAAACATTTTGTCACTTACTGTGCCCTTCCTCGTCTTTGGGTGTCTGGGTATTCACAATAAGTTCTTCTTCGTTTGAACCTTAATCTTAACTTTAAGGTATGTCATGTTATAAACGTCCATAGTTGGAGATAAACGAATTTGAACGGTGACAACTGCTGTTGGGTAAACCACTGCCTCAACGCCCTGACTGATTCTACCATTGAGGTCAATGATAGATAATAACTCCCCATCAAACCCAGTTTACAACTTTTAATCGGATTGGTTTTAAAGTTAGTATTATTATGGTTTAGTATATAATTTTCAATTTAGATTTGGGCCTCGACATGTCCTTGAAGATTTGGGCCTACTAATGGACTTGGACCCATTTCAATGCTAGCCCAAAATAGAACGACGCCGTTTCAAGAACTAATAATAAATTACGTCTCTCTCAAAATGGGCCTGTGATGTTTGGGCCGGGCTGATTAAAAAGCTTTTCTCACTTGTGGGCTGTCTATGGGCCGAAGTCCAAAAAGAACTGTGCTTGTGAACAAGCGAGAAACTAAAACGACGTCGTAGAAGCAAAGAGCAGACGAAGTGACGACGGTGTGTTATTGGTCTCGAAGCTCTTTAGCTAAAACCCCTAAAACCTCTGCAGCGAACTTGGACGTCGTCGACGAACTCACAGAGGCCCGTCCACGACATCCACCTCCGACAGGGTTCTCTGCAACGAACTATCTGTGCGACGGCGACGCGATTCTCGACGGTGGGGCGATAACAAGGGTATTCTTTAACGAATCTGAAATTGCTTTGGTTTATGTATAACGCTTCGTTTGACTTCAAATCTGAACAATTATGGTCTATGATTGATTTTGGGTAAGAATATCCCTCAAGTACAATCTTATGCTAATTCAAGAAATTTAAGAAACTTTTGTTCTTTTAAGATATTGAAGGTTTGATAGTTTTAATTTGTGGGTTTTGGTTGAATGGAAGCTTTGTTCATTGAAATTTGGTTTTGAAAGCATCATTTGTAACAAAGTTTTTAGCTGAAGGTTTTATGAAAGATTGCGTTGCTTTAAAAGTGTTGTAAATGTTTGTATTTTCTTGTTTACAATTGTTTTTGAAAGAAAATGAATGTGAGATCCCATATCCATTGGGGAGGAGAAGGAAACACCCTTTATAAGGGTGTGGAAACCTCTCCCTAGCAGACGTGTTTTAAAAACCTGTAGGGGAAGCCCGAAAGGGAAAACCCAAAGAGGACAATATCTGCTAGTGGTGGGTTTGGGCCGTTACAAATGGTATCAGAACCAGACATCGGGCGATATGCCAGCGAGGAGGCTGAGCTCCGAAAGGGGGTGGACATGAGGCGATGTGCTAGCAAGAATGTTGGGCCTTGAAAGGGGTGGGTTTTGTGGGGGTCCCACATCGATTGGAGAACAGAACTAGTGCTAGTGAGGATGTTGGCCCCATAGGGGGGAGGGGGTGGATTGTGAGATCCCACATCGGTTGGGAAGGAAAAGGAAACACCCTTTATGAGAGTGTGGAAACCTCTCCCGAACGAGTGCCAACGAGGACGCTGGACCCCATAGGGGGTGGATTGTGAGATCCCACATCAATTGGGAAGGAGAAGGAAACACCCTTTATAAGGGTGTGGAAACCTCTCCCTAACAGACGTATTTTAAAAACTTTGAGAGGAAGCCCGAAGGGAAAGTCCAAAGAGGACAATATCTACTAGCGGTAGGCTTAGGTCGATACAATGAATTTCAAAGTTTGAAATGGTAAATGCTTATCGAGTATTTTTGTATTCATTTTTGCTTTTCATAAATGTTTTCAGCTGGAGGTTCAGGCAATAGTTCTGAAAGAAGTGAAGTTGAGCATTATGGTACGAGACATTGAAAGATGTTAAAAACTTGTTAGTTTATCTCAAGAATCGTTTGTAAGAAATTTCTTCTACTGAATTGTGTAAGTTGTTATGTTTTCACATTATTGTTATCATAGTTCTATTGGAAAATATGGGCTGTTACACTTGGGCACCAAGAAGAAGGTGCTTATGTTTACAATATATTTTCAAACTTCAAACTCTTTCACCAAGTGCTTCGTTCCGTTTCATCCACAACTTTGTGTATGATTCATCGAATTTTGTCTCCAATCAGCGTCTGAGTGAGTTATCTAAAGATGGCCGAGTTGATGAAGCGCGTAAGTTGTTTGATCACATGCCTTACCGGGACACGTACACATGGAATATTATGATTTCAGCTTATGCGAATTCAAGAAACATGGTCGAAGCTCGCAAGCTTTTCGACGAAACTCCAACTAAAAATTCTATCACTTGGTCATCCCTGGTATCTGGATATTGCAGAAATGGGTGTGAAGTTGAAGGCTTGAGGCTGTTCAGCCAAATGTGGAGTGAGGGACAGAAGCCAAGTCAATACACATTGGGCAGTGTTTTACGAGCATGTTCGACTTTGGGTTTGCTCCATAGTGGCAAAATGATTCATGGCTATGTAACAAAAATACAATTAGAAGCAAATATCTTCGTTGCTACCGGTCTTGTCGACATGTATTCCAAGTGTAAGTGTCTCCTGGAGGCTGAATTCCTCTTTGTATCATTGTCTGATAGGAAAAACTATGTTCTATCGACCGCTATGCTCACCGGTTATGCTCAAAATGGCGAGAGTTTGAAGGCAATGCAGTGTTTTAAGGAGATGAGAATACAGAAAATGGAGTCTAACCATTTCACATTTCCCAGCATATTGACAGCATGTACAGCAATTTCAGCTTATTCTTTTGGTCAGCAGGTACATGGATGTATTATTTTGAGTGGTTTTGGTGCTAATGTTTATGTTCAAAGTGCATTAGTTGATATGTATGCGAAATGTGGCGACTTGAATAGTGCGAGGATGCTACTAAATATCATGGAAATCGATGATGTTGTATGCTGGAACTCGATGATTGTCGGGTGTGTGGCACACGGACATATGGAGGAAGCTCTAGTTTTGTTCCATAAGATGCATAATCGGGATACTGTAATCGACGATTTCACGTACCCGTCTGTTTTGAAATCTCTGGGTACTTGCAGGGACCTGAAAAATGGAGAATCTGTTCATTCTCTGATAATGAAAACTGGTTTTGATGCTTGCAAAACAGTGAGCAATGCGCTTGTTGATATGTATGCTAAACAGGGAAACTTGAATTGTGCATTAGAGGTTTTCAATAAGATATCAGATAAAGATGTCATATCTTGGACCTCCTTGGTCACGGGATATGTTCATAATGGCTTCCATGAAAAAGCTCTCAAGTTATTCTGTGACATGAGAATTGCAGGTGTTGATCTAGACCAATTCGTAATTGCCTGTGTCTTTAGTGCTTGTGCTGAACTAACGATTATCGAGTTTGGTCGACAGGTTCACGGAAACTTCATCAAATCAAGCGTTGGTTCACTGTTATCTGCAGAGAACTCTCTCATAACAATGTATGCCAAATGTGGATGCTTAGAAGATGCAACTCGAGTCTTTGACTCGATGGGAACTCGAAATGTCATATCATGGACTGCTATAATAGTTGGTTATGCACAGAATGGGAGAGGGAAGGACTCGCTTCGTTTTTACGACCGGATGATAATCGATGGCGTAAAGCCTGACCCTGTTACTTTCATTGGTTTGTTGTTTGCTTGCAGCCATGCAGGTCTTGTAGAAACTGGTCGATCTTACTTCGAATCAATGGAGAAAGTTTATGGAATAAAGCCGGGTTCTGATCATTATGCTTGCATGATTGATCTACTGGGACGTGCTGGAAAGCTTAACGAGGCAGAGGAGTTATTGAATCGAATGGACGTTGAGCCCGACGCAACTGTATGGAAGTCGTTACTTTCGGCCTGTCGGGTTCATGGGAACTTAGAACTTGGAGAAAGGGCGGGGAAAAACCTCATTAAGTTGGAGCCTTTGAATTCTCTGCCTTATGTTTTATTGTCCAATATGTTCTCTGTTGCTGGTAGATGGGAAGATGCAACACATATACGTAATTCAATGAAAAGAATGGGTATTAACAAGGAGCCTGGGTATAGTTGGATTGAAATGAAGAGCCAAGTGCATTCATTTATATCAGAAGATAGAAGTCACCCTTTGGCTGCTGAAATATATTCTAAGATTGATGAAATGATGATCTTAATAAAGGAAGCTGGGTATGTTCCCGTTATGAACTTCGCGTTACATGACATGGACGAAGAGGCTAAGGAACGTAGTTTAACATATCATAGCGAAAAGTTGGCTGTTGCGTTTGGACTCCTTGCAGTCCCGAATGGAGCGCCGATTCGAATTTTCAAAAATCTTAGGGTATGTGGGGACTGTCACTCAGCTATGAAATATATATCTAGCGTTTTTAAGCGGCATGTTATTTTGAGAGACTTGAATTGTTTCCATCACTTCAAAGAGGGAAAATGTTCCTGTGGAGACTTCTGGTAAGGGAGGTGTTTCACCACTTTGTAAGGAGGAGGATCGGAAACCAGCTAAGGCACCGTAGCATCTCCTAGAGGCGTAACTGACTGGTTCTGTTCTATTTGCCCATCCGAGTCATCCTGTGTCGTTGTTGACCCACCTTGGAGAATGAAACATCAATATATATCTAGCGGTTTTAAGATGCATATTATTTTGAGAGACTTGAATTGTTTCTATCACTTCAAAGAGGGAAAATGTTCTTGTGGAGACTTCTGGTAAGGGAGTTAAGGAGGATCGGAAACCAGCTAAGGCACCGTAGCATCCCCTAAAGGCGTAATTGACAGGTACTATTCTATCTGCCCATTGAGTCATCTCGTGTCATTGTTGACCCACCTTGGAGAATGAAATTGAAATATATATCTAGCATTTTTAAGCGACATGTTCTTTTGAGAGACTTGAATTGTTTCCATCACTTCAAAGAGGGAAAATGTTCTTGTCGAGACTTCTGGTAAGGGAGTTAAGGAGGATCGGAAACCAGCTAAGGCACCGTAGCATCCCCTAAAGGCGTAATTGACAGGTACTATTCTATCTGCCCATTGAGTCATCTCGTGTCATTATTGACCCACCTGGAGAATGAAATTGAAATATATATCTAGCATTTTTAAGCGACATGTTCTTTTGAGAGACTTGAATTGTTTCCATCACTTCAAAGAGGGAAAATGTTCTTGTGGAGACTTCTGGTAAGGGAGGTGCATCGGAAACCAGCTAAGGGACCGTAGCGTCCCCTAAAAGCGTAACTGACAGGTTCTATTCTATCTGCCCATCCGAGTCATCCTGTGTCGTTGTTGACCCACCTTGGAGAATGAAACTTAAATATATATCTAGTGTTTTTAAGCGGCATGTTCTTTTGAGAGACTTGAATTGTTTCCATCACTTCAAATAGGGAAAGTGTTCTTGTGGAGACTTCTGGTAAGGGAGGTGTATCGGAAGCCAGCTAAGACACCGTAGCGTCCCCTGAAGATGTAACTGTCAGGTTCTGTTCTATTTGCCCATCCGAGTGATCCCGTGTCTTTGTTGACCCACCTTGGAGAATGAAACTACTATTTCTTGATGAATGAAACTACTATTTCTTGATGATACCTGAGTTTTCCTATTAGCACAACTCAAGCAAGCTAAGAATGGTGGTAGTCATTTCCTGATCCTGATAAGAATTAACTCCTAAATCCTTCACTTTGAAGCTTAATCCTACCATCTCTTTGTCCAACAACTCCGTTCAGGCGAAACCGCGGTGGTCCGTTCAGACAGGATTCTTCACTAGGCTTGTCAGGATGCTCAGGGAGATGTCAAAAAGTGATGTCTGTGAGTATCTTCTTAGGCTTCTCGAACGCTCGAGACAACCTTGCTATTATCGACAAGCTTCTTCTATACTCGAACCTTGTGGAAACTGATAAGAGTTCTCAACGAACTCAAAGAGGTCCATCTTCTCTTCCTTTACTGTATTCTTCTTTGTTCATGGATTCTTAGATTATTTGAAAAACTTGTCAAAACTAATACATATATATATTGGCAGTTCATTTGATTCTGCAGTCTTTTGAAAAATCATTCATAAGCTGAATGAAAAAGTATAATTAATCATAGTGTTGAAAACTTTATAGGCATTGTTGATGTGTGATTTCGGGTTACCGATCACTATTACGATTGTGACGAGCTTCCATGATGACATATTGGCAGGGAAGCGTAAGTCGGGTCGTGAAATAAAGGTAATGAGTTCACGAATTGTTTCACTGCTCGGCTTTCTTTTATCAGGTTTTGGCAAGCTTATTTTTGGCTTTTCCCATCTTGAAATTTATTTTTTCTTATGTTTCGAGAACAGGAGATGTGAGATCTCCACATCAGTTAGGAAGGAGAACCAAGGTGTAGAAACCTCCTCTTCCTCGCAACCCCATTTTAAAATCGTAAGATTGACGACAATACGTAATTGGCCAAAGCGAACAATATCTGTTGTTAGTGGGCTTGGGCGGGCTTGGGTTGTTACAAATGGTATAAGAGCTAGACATCGGGCGATGTACCCGCAAGGAGGTTGAGCCTCGAAGGGGGTGGATTGAAAGTCCCACATCGATTGGAGAAGGGAATGAGTGTCAGCTACAACGCTAGACCTAGCTGGACCCTAAAGGTAGTGGATTGTGAGATCCCACGAAGCATTCTTTATGAGGGTGTAGAAACCTCTCCCTAGTAGATGCGTTTTAAAAACTTTGAAAAGTTCATTTTTCATCTGATTTGTGCTATTCGGAATTTGTCTTTTTGAACTCTATAAATTGAAGGTTTGCTATTATGAGAATATATGGTTTGATATGAGTTTGATGATGAATTACCTAATGAAAATATTTTCAAATGTAAATTTGTATACTAATATCGAAGGTGGAGTTGCCCATTTAACTTTCGAGGTAGAGACCTTATGGAGGCTCACCCTAGATAGTGTGACAAATCTCCGTTTGAACGGAAAGCGGGGACTAAACAGGGTCGGAGACGGGGATAGAGATTATGTTCTCCACCGTCGTGTTTTTTAAAAAATCAACCACGATATGAAGTAAATTAGCGTAAAATTTCAATTTGTTAGGTTAAGGTGTTATAAGTAATTGCAATTATTTTATATTGATATTATTGTAAGATAATTATTTAATGAATGAATGAGTTATTTAAATTAAAAAATAATTTTGGATAAATTGATGATTGTTTTACCAAAACGGTTGGTATTTTCTTACCATTTCTTTTACTCTAAACCAGCCTTAAATAAGGTTTAGTATATTTGAAATTCATCTTTTTACAAATATACCCCTAATAACGCTCGAGTATAGGGTTTTTGCATATTCTATTAACGGCCCCACAGAGAAGGTCGGCGAAGGTGTCTTAAGAGGAATCATACCGTTCTTTATTTGTGCCATGACCAGAATGAAAACCGAGGGAGTCGTTAAAAAATGACAACTTCAAAGAAGGGAAGGGTAATATGATTCTAGTTAGGGGCAGGGGTGCTCGTAGTTAGGTTAAGTTCATTTGAGATATTGTTTAGATCCGACCCAATTGTTATTAAATAATGAACCCAACTCAACTACAAATTTTTTGGGTTGGTTGGTTCGGATGGTTTATTCAAATTTTTGTTTTTAATAAAATTAAAATGTTAAGTTCGTAATTTATTTATTTTTAAATATTTAATTAAGATTTACAATTCAATATACATACGTTCAAATATTACCTGCCAAATAATAAAAATAATTACGAAATTAAATAAGTATGCATATATATATATAATCGTATCGGTAGTAAAAATGTATTTTTTAAAATTAATAATAAATTCACATTGGTTTCGTTTAACCTAGTCTAAGTTTAGAGAAACTCATAAACCAACTCAACTCATAAAGTTTTCATTCATTTGAATCCAACCCAACTCAAGTAAGTTCATGACCCAACCCAAGTTGTACGGGTTGGATTTAGGATTTGGGTTGATAGAGCTTTTCGGGTTATCGAGTTTTTTGAACACGCCTAACTCTAGCTAATTCATGATTAGGAGTTGGATTAGGGTTTGAGTTGATCGAGTTTTTCAGGTTATCGAGTTTTTTGAACACACTTAATTCTAGTTGATCCGTATAATGGCCTAGACCCACCGTTAGCAGAGATTGTCCTCTTTGAACTTTTCCTTTTGAACTTTCCCTCAGGGCTTTAAGACGTGTCTTCTAAGGAAAAGTTTCCACTCCCTTATAAAGGATGATTCGTTCTCCTTCCCAACCAATGTGGGATATCACAATCCACCCCCTTCAGGGCCCAGCGTCCTTACTGGCACATCGCCTTGTGTCTACCTCCTTCGGGGAACAACCTCCTTGATGACATATAGTCCGGTGTCTGACTCTGATACCATTTATAACGGCCCAGACCTATCGTTAGCAGATATTGTTCTTTTTGGGCTTTCCCTCAAGGCTTTAAAATGCGTCTTCTAGGAAAAGTTTCCATACCCTTATAAAGGGTGTTTCGTTCTCATCTCCAATTAACGTGGGATATCACAATCCACCCTCCTTCAGTGCCTAGCATCCTTACTGACACATCGCCTCATGTCTACCCCCCTTCGGGAACAATCTCCTTGTTGACACATGGTCTGGTGTCTGGCTCTGATACCATTTGTAACGGCCTAGGCTCACCATTAGCTGATATTGTCCTCTTTGAGCTTTCCCTTTCGGGCTTCCTCTCAATGCTTTAAAATGCGTATTCTAGGAAAAGGTTTCCACACCGTTATAAAGGGTGTTTCCGTAATCAATATCCCTTTTGAAACGAACTAAAAAAATAAAATATATTTATAGATTTGTAAATTTAAACCAAGAATTATGGCGTTAAAAGTAATGAAAAAACAAAGATGCCCAAGAAGTATGTTGAAATAAGTGCACAATTTTCAATAACAAATCAAAGCGTGTGAGAGACTTCCACTTCTTTTTACCAAATTTAGTTGTAATGTTTCCTATCAAACAATAATAATTCCCTTCCTTTTCTCACCAACCAACCAATCAAAACACTTCCCAACTTAGCTCCCATCTTACTCTAAATTCCTTCTTTTTTCTATTTCATCTCCCTAATCTCTTCCCAATTCTCTTCATTGCTCAAGGATTCAAGAACTCATGGCGGACTCGTTACGATATCTGATCATCTCGGTTGTTCTATCGATTACCATGTTATTCATTCATACTTCGGCCTCAAGTTCGTCTCTCTCGAGGCGAGCTCTATGGCAACCTAAGTTGCCTAGTGATGGCTTTCGAGTGAGTCTTAACCATGTGGATCATGTCAAGAATTTGACGAGATTCGAGCGGTTGCAACGAGGAGTGGCGCGTGGGAAGACTAGATTGCATAGACTAAACGCCATGGTGTTGGCTGCCAACGTTGGTGTTGGTGGTCGAGTGCAGGCGCCGGTGGTGGCGGGTAATGGTGAGTTTCTTATGAAGTTGGCTATCGGATCTCCGCCGAGAAGCTTCTCGGCGATCATGGACACGGGGAGTGACCTGATTTGGACACAGTGTAAGCCTTGTCAACAGTGTTTTGATCAAGCTACGCCTATTTTTGATCCGAAAGAATCTTCTTCTTTCTCTAAGATTTCTTGCTCGAGCGAGCTCTGTGATGCTCTCCCGACATCGACATGTAGTAGCGATGAGTGCGAGTATTTCTACACGTATGGTGATTATTCCTCTACCCATGGCGTTTTGGCTGCTGAGACCTTCACTTTTGGAGATTCAAGCCAAGACCAGGTTATTAACCACCATCAAACCAAAAACATTATAAAGTTTGATAAGTTATGGTTTACTTAACATAGTTGTTTTTAATAAAAATTCCTAAGTTTTTTAGGATTTTTTTTCGTTCCAGTATAAACATAGGGGTTATAAGGATCGAGATGGGTCAGATTTTTTCGTTCTAGTATAAACATAGGGTTATAAGGATCGAGATGGGTCAGATTGATGAAATTTTTTGGATCAACCCAAAGTTTCGAGTTGGTTGGGTTGGTAACCCAAATAAGTCGAAATTGTTTCACATCCTAACCCAACCCTATATTTTTAAGTTAGGTTAGGTTGGGTTTTCCGGTGGTTGGTGAGGAGCTGCATCTGTGAGAGATGTCTTGTTTGCATTTGACGACGATGGTGAGGATAAGGAGTGTGGCCAACAACGAGGAGCTGTGTCTACATCTACAAGAAGCGAGACCTAACTTTTGTCTAATGTGTGCGATATATATACTTATTTATTATTATTATTATTTTAATATTGGACTAATTTGGTTTGGATTGACCGAACCTTTAGCCAATAAACCCGAAACTTGATCCAAACTAGCTCGGTTCAAGAAAATTAACCTAACCCAACCCTTATGATTTGGGTTGGGTTGGTCGAGTCTTTTGGGTTCGATTTACACTCCTAATATCTCCCCTTTGTTTCAATGGCATGTTAAATCACCACTAAACTAAAAAAGTTTAAAGGGGTATCTAAACTCTATTCGATCATATATACATGTTCTTAATTCAGGTATCGATCCCTGGACTTGGATTTGGATGTGGAGACGACAACGAAGGAGACGGGTTCAGCCAAGGCGAGGGGCTAGTGGGTCTCGGCCGAGGACCCTTATCGCTAGTTTCTCAACTAAAAGAACAGAAGTTTTCGTATTGTTTAACCGCCATTGATGACACGAAACCTAGCTCACTTTTGATGGGATCTCTAGCAAATGTGAAACCTAAAGCATCCGAAGGTGAAATCAAAACCACCCCATTGATAAGAAACCCATCTCAGCCATCTTTTTACTATCTTTCTCTACAAGGAATCTCGGTTGGTGGCACTCAATTACCAATACCAAAGGCCACTTTTGAGCTCCATGATGATGGGAGTGGTGGCGTTATCATAGATTCAGGCACAACAATCACATACATTGAGAAAAATGCTTTCACTTTACTCAAAAAAGAGTTCGTTTCTCAGATGAAACTTCCCGTTGACGACTCGGGTACCAGTGGCCTCGACCTTTGCTTTAATTTGCCACCCGAGACAACTCAGGTACGTTTACCTAATAGCCTAAATTGATGAAAAGGAGTCCCACATTGGCTAATTTAGAAATGATCATGAGTTTATAAGTAAGGATTACATCTTCATTGATACGAGTCGTGATTCCTAACATAGATTAATGTATTGATGTTTTTGTTTATGTTGTTAACAAAGGTGGAGGTTCCGAAGTTGACGTTCCATTTCAAAGGTGCCGATTTGGAGCTTCCGGGGGAGAATTACATGATCGGCGACTCGAAGGCGGAGTTGATATGTTTGGCCATTGGGAGTTCGAGCGGAATGTCCATCTTTGGGAATCTTCAACAACAAAACATCATGGTTGTTCATGATCTTCAAGAAGAAACTGTGTCGTTTTTGCCTACTCAGTGTAGTGAAATATGAAAAAGTTGAAGGGAATTTGTTGAATCAAAATGGAGTGA